GTTTATTTGCTCTACATATGTGTTTGATTAGGGCTATGAACGATTTGATTTTGAGCTGATTCGGGGTTGGTTTGATGGCTTGGAGCTTAACTTGTAATCAAATTTTGGCTCGAATCATTTGATTTTGAGCTAGCTCGAATTGAAATTGAATAGATGTCGATTCAATTTATTTTAATTTAAAGCTTGTCCGAACGGGGCAGCTCAATCCAATTTGGCTTGAAATTGAAATGGGTTGGCTCATCTTGATTGATCAACTTTAATGTAATGGCCAAAAAAACTAAAAAAAAAATGTTTTGTTGCATGGTTTAGGACCTGGTCCAATGTAAAAAAGTTAAATAGGCTTCATTGCCACATGTTATATCAGTCGAAAAAACCACAATTTCATTTAAAGTTTCATAAAAATATATTATATATTGTCACATGCTAAAAAATTTGCAGTCGTAGAATTTTGAATCGTTTGATATCTTAACATTGTACAAGTAACAAGGTCTGACCTTGTTGCAATAGTCCAATATATGTTATAAATACATGAATTCGCTCTTATTCACAATTTAAAAAGATGGACTACATAATTAAGAACAATTATCTACTTATCACAATATAGATTACAGAAGCGAGATGTCCATAGACAAACAGTTGATGTCTAATATTGTCCCGAAAACTTGGGCTATGTTCAGGCTATTGTCATAGAAGAATTCCCTTCTTATTGTTTGCATTATAAATCCCTTGGCCATTTGAAGGTGGAATGTAGTACCCTGAACCATATTCTTCCTATTGTTCCCTCTCTTAAAGCGGGTATTGAGGGTGTTTTTCCAACCACTATGGAGCAAGTTAATGATAAGGTGGATTTGGCTTTACAAAATGAGGTTGTTATTGTTTGTGAGGGTCATTTAGAATTTTTTATTGATGCTAGCAACTTGGGTTTGCGGGATCTTGTGGTTTCCCCTACGTCTGCTTTGGTTTGTAATGCTAGGCTTCCTAGGCCAGCGGTTTTGGCCTTTGATGGTTTTGAGGTAGTGGATCCTCTTATCACTATTTCTGATTATCCCGTGTAAGAGGCTGATGATTATCTAGCTATTTTTTGGAAGGATCCTTTGTGTTTTACTCTGTCTCTCCTATTTTAGAAGTGGTTAGCATTGAATTCTATTGTGTTAACACAGTAGTGTTGAACAATTCATTAAGTGAATTGCCTGATGTTGTTGTTGAATCTGCTATGCCCTCTTCTTCCTTGATAATTTTTTATGGCACGGTTGAGATCCCTGTTTCTATCATTTCAAATGAGGATTTAAAAGCTCAATTGGATATGTCTTTGCATGATTCTTGTGTGAACCAATTGGATTGGCTTGAAGATAACTTGTCCCCGCTTGGTTAGGGTGAGGGGGAGGATTTGGAAGGGGCATAGGAGGATTTTCATGGTTTGTTTAACTTGAATGTGAATCACATAGTTGAGAAGGCCTTCTCCCATGGAGGTGGTAAGCATCGGGGGCGTAAAAACAAAATGAAGTAACTATGGTTGTTCTCTTTTCGTTGGGGCCTTCTTTTGCATTGTTGGTCATTCTGTGTCATTTTGTTGGTTGCTTAGAGTTTGGGTTTTTGAGGTTGTGCGTGGTTTTACTTTGGGTGGATGTGATGCTGGGGATTGGATTAGCGGTTGCTTCATTCTTTTATGGGCAATGATGTTATGAGTTTTTGCTCTCCACATGGACTGTCGGGGCTTGTTGGCTATCATTGTTGGTGACTCAGTTTGTTCTGTTTGGTGGCCTTATTTTGGTTGTTGCTAGTCACTGCCTATGGATGGTCCTAGCTTGACATCTGGGTGGTTGCAAGAAACTCTATGCCAATTTCTGTGAGCCTGAATGGCTGCCTCGTCTTTTCTATTTTTTGTTGTGTATATTTCTTTTTTGGTGGTTGGGTTGGTTGTATCCTCTTTCTTTGTTGAGATAAGATCATCATTTGATTTTTTTTTTTTAGAAGTGATAATATTAAGATAATGGAAGTCAGACAATTGTAATGATAATTGTTGATAGTAATTTTAATCAGAATCCAAAACACTCTATTAAACGCTTCATATTTATCCTCTTAATTATATAACATTTATTAAGCCTTTAAGTATCTTAATACCACAAAATTGAATAATCTTGGGCTGATTCGATTCTTCTTATCAATCTGTTTGTTTTGACAAAGATTTAGATTCTGTGGGCTCTTCGATTAGTGTCCCAATATCAATTTCGTATTCAGATTCTTTGGAACTCAAATCATATCACTTTTAATGTTGTTGTGTTCAACTTGTCGAGACGTTCAGTTGAACTATAACTTTGTTGAAATCGAAATTCAAAAGATCCCAAATTTAGTTTAAAATTTATAAATTCAAATCAAATCTCAAACAAATCTCTATTTTCTTTTTTTGTGTAGAAGCTCATAGAATAGACAAATCCTTTCTAGTTTTCCCTCTTTCTACTCATTCAAAACATGTGAAATCTTATGAATCTCAGTGTTCATATCTTTGCCACTATGACAAGAAATGTTTGAGCACCCTTCTTGAATTTCAAAGCTTAGCAATCTTCAATTAAATTTCTTCTCGCTAAGGTGTGACTCAGTCAAATGGGGAGCTGAATTCAGAATGTTTGGGACAGCTTTTTTTTCTTTCTTTTACTTTTTCAGACCGCTTTCATAATTTTGATTTTTGATATTGATTGGAATGATTTATTATTACTACTTAAAATAATTTTTTATTACAAAAAAAAAATTTACAAAATAATGATTTAAAATGCAATAAAAAAATTATCTCAAACAAAGGAGAAATTATTCTGTATGGTTACCGGACAGCCTGAAGGCGAATCATGATGTGCCATGTCACCCGGTACACAGCTAAAAAATAACGTGGTGCTTTCTGATTCGCCTCCGGACGGCGCCTGATTACCGCACAAAATAATTTAACTTAACAAATCCTTTATTTGTCTGTTATTTTTTTATTGATTTCAAGAAAATTTTGTGCTAAAAAGTTATTTTTTATAACAGCTTTTAAAAAAGTTACTTCCGGGCAATAATTTTTCAATAGCCTGCTAGAATTTATAAAATTATATATACATTTAAACTTATATTCATAGAGCCTTGAATTTAGGTTGAGATTAGTGTAATTTATTAATATTATATGTGACACTAATCTTAAAGTAAATATAAGTGTTTAAGAACTATTAGTATATCCTTACACAATTTTTTTCTTTTTTTTTTATTACCCTCGAGGTCTAAATACATAAATATTTAATTTGTCGGGATTGAAACATAAAGGAATTATCGGTAATGCCATGGGGCGAAAATATAATTGGAGGAGAAGTGATATTTGTAAAAAACACCCTCTAACTTAATTTTTTCATATAAAACGAAAAAAAAAAAGTGGGTTAAATAAATAAAATATTTTATTTTACTCTAATGTGCAGTTATTTTAAATTTTAAAATGACGAAAATTATTTATATTATTTTATAAATAAAATGCTAAGATTTATTTGTTTAATCATGAATACTGAAACTATTATAATAATTCTCGTTAAGAATGAATGGCTTATTAATGCAATATTATATTTGAATTTCATAACTAACCTTAATTTTATTTTAGAATTTATAAATTATAATAATACCAAAAAAATATTACAATTAATATCACAATGGGCTTAAAAACCATTTGACTAACTTTAAGATTAGTGCAATGCAAAGAGTTTAATATTGCACTAACCCAAAAAAAATTCAATGATTTTTTATAGGTCAGAAGATTGTAAAATTATTCTGTGCGGATACTTACGCTGTCCGGGGTAAATCAGAGCGTATCACGTCACTTTTTTATTATGTACCGCAACTAAGTATCGGGTGATGTAGCGTGTTCTGATTCGCCTCCGGACGGTCCGGTGTCCGTATAGAATAATTTTTCCATAAGATCAAGGCTTTATTTGGGACAGCTTTCTTACTACTTTTGAAAGTGGCTTTCAAGTATTTTTGTACTAAAAATATGCTTGGAGAAAAATTAAGAAAGCCTTCCCAAAAGAGAACTTTTATTACGTCCTCTGACCGGACGTAGCTCTACGTTCGGTCGGAGGATTGTTACTCGATTTTTGCTCGGTATTTGGTCAGTATTGCTAGGTATTGTTTGGTAATAACGAGGAATACCGCTTTGTGAAGACCAATACCGAGTAATCCCAAAAAATACCGAGTTTTTTCTAGAAAAAACTCGGTATTTTTTGGAATTACTCGGTATTGCTCGGTCTTACTCGATATTTTGTCTTCACATAATGGTATTTCTCGTTATTTTTGGTATTGCTCGACATTTGCTTGGTATTTCTCGTTTTGTGGCTGCGATCTTAGTGCCGGCCGAACGTAGCTCTACGTACGTTCACCGGACGTAATAAAAGTTCCCCAAAATAAGCCTAAATAATCATTTTTTTTAATATAGAGTCTGTTTGGCATAACTTTCTTACTGTTTTTTCTTTTCAAATCATACTAATGTTTTCAAAATTCTATGCAAATAAATTACTTTTTACAACACTTTTTAAAATATACTTTTCATACAATTTATAATATTTTTACAAAAAAAAATTGCAAAAAATTGCCTTCATCTCAAATAGATCCTAAATTTCAAAACTGATATAATTTTTTCTTTCAAAAAATAAAGAAAAAAAAAATCATACTCCAATTTTACAAAAATAACCCTAAACAAAAATGTTGATATAGCCAAAAAGCACTCATCTTCCGTCTTTGAAGGTCTAGTTGGTCATATCAATAAAAAATTTAAATATATCATTCTCATACTTTGAAACAGTCACACCACAGAAATCATATTAATTTATGCAAAATCTAAAGCACTTCCATCCCTTATTCCGTTTTCAAAATCAAAATCAAACATCTTGACAATCAATTCTTCTCTATTCAAACAATGACTTTAATAATCTCCCTATAAAACTTCCCCCAATGCCACCCAAATGCTTCATTCAAGCATATCCAATTCATAGAAGATGGCCATAGGAGCTCCTATTGCTCTTGGAAAAGCCACTAGATTCCTTTTCGGTTCGCGGAAACCCCCGCAAAAATCGTGCGATGTTTTCATAAACCACCGAGGGATTGACACGAAGCGAAATATTGCGGGACTGTTAAACGAAAGGCTCACGCAGCTCAACATTTGTTCTTTTTTGGATAGCAAATCGATGGAGCCTGGTGATAAGCTGTATGATAGTATTGAGTCGGCGATTAGTGAATGTAGGGTTGCGATAGCCATTCTGTCTCCGCGGTACTGCGAGTCGATCTTCTGCTTGCACGAGTTAGCAATGTTGGTCGAGTCGGGGAAGAAGATCATCCCGATCTTTTATGACATTAAGCCGTCGGAGCTTCAAGTTGTGGATACTGACGGGAGTTTCTCGCCGGAACAGTTGGAGAGGTTTACAAGGGCTATTCGGGAGGTGAGGTATACTGTCGGCATCACATTTGACTCGCAGAACGGGTGAGTTTGATTGCTTTATTTAAGTATTTTGTATGTTAAAATTATATTTAATTGATGTCATATCTTACTTTATTTTTTTTTTTTTGCAGAAATTGGTGTGATCTTATCTCTCGAACTGTGAATGTGGTGAAGAACAGCCTCAACAATGAAGCCTTTTGGTCTTTGGATTTGATTTTGGGACACAAAAATTGAAGAAAATAAAATAAACTTTATAGTTTTATGAATTTACATTCAAATTACTATAAAGTTATAGGATTATTTAAATTCAACATTTTTTTATTTTTTTTATTTAAAATTCTTTTATGTAATTATTTGACTTAGTCAAATTTTAGAAGTGCAAATAATTATTGCATATTGATAATTATTGACTTAATATTTTGTTATTACTTAATCAACAAGCAATAAAATGATGGTAGAAATGTTTCTTCACTATTCCTTTATTGTCTCAATTGGGATAGCTGGAATATTTAGGGGTGCAAATGAGTGGAATTGAGCTCGAGTCATGCTCTTCGGTCAGATCGCGAGCTCAAACTCAAGATTTCGTGGTTCCACACGACCACACCCGAGCGATCCCGCTTCCATGTACACGGTTCCATGTGATCTCGCCCGAGCCCTCGCTGCCACTTCCGTGCTTTCACCTTCTACACTCGAGCTACTCGACTAGTACTTGAGTCGAGTTTCAACTCGATCGAACTCAAGCTTGAAACTTCAATAAGCTCGGCTCACGAGTCAACTTGACTATTTTCAATTTTGACTATTTTCCACCCTATTTGAAATAGATGTTGCCTTCTTAAAAAAAATATTCTTAAAATATGTATTATCATTGACTTGATATGAATTGGATTTGATTTACTTTATTCAATAAAAATTTTCAATTTTGAAATACTATATGCAAAGAGATGTAGAGATCCAATAGAGACAAGATATAATATAGGGTAATAGCCAAACAATAATAATATTTTGCTCAAAATATTTTCTTTTATTTTATAAAAAGCATGTACACTAACTTTATTATTTTGGGGAATTAGATAAATAACATTAAAATTTTATCTTTTTACATATCGAGCTCTTAAATCTTTATATTTATTCATATAACACCTTAATGTCTAAATCTCATTAAAATCTCTATATGAAAAATATTTATTTCACATAGGATAAATTGATATTACATAAATTTATAATGTAATTTAGAATTTTAGATATTAGAATGTTATATAAGTAAATATTAAAATTTATGTGTCAGATACATAAATACAAAAAAATGCAGTGGCATGTATGTAAATACCCCTTTTATTTCGTTATTTTTAAATATATATATATATATATATAATTCATTTCAACAATATATTTTACAGTAAAAGGGGTATTTATATAAAAATGATAATTATATTGAATGAAGCACATTTTATGATATTAAAAATAAATAAGAAAATAAAAAATATTCAGTAATTATAAATCTCATAAAAAGACTTAAAAAATAAATAAATAAAATTCAAATCCTTCGAGAACTGACTGGTTCATGGTCTATTGACTCAATTCCTCCTCAATAAAATATTTGGTTTAAGGAAATTATAAGTAAATGAAGGAGAACTTTTAATAAAATACTATTTCTTTTTCATGTTTAGATTATAACAAATTTATTTATTTATTTTATTTTTAATGAAGATGATTACTATTTTTTATTAGAATTTGATAATTATCATTAGTGAAAAACAATTCGAATTTATTTTTTTATTTTTCATTCATTTATAAGTTTTTTTTTTTCGTGTCGGCCATTAATATAACTATAACGCCGCTATTTTGCTAAGACTCAAAGGCTACCATAGGACATTAGCTATCCATGATATATAGTTGGTGGTGATATAATCACTCTCAAAATTCATATCAAAGAGCAACATAATGAGATAAGCTATTGGTCGGATCGAAGAAACGACAGACTTAGAGGGTATTTCTCATCTATTTTCTCACAATCCTAGTCGAATCAAAGATACAATGTTCATGGATCTTGATTATTTTTGTTAAGACATAAGGTTTAGATGTTGTCCTCTTCCTCTTGTTGTACCTCTCTATTTCTTCACCTCTATCGTTTCTTCTTCTTCTTTTCGTCTCATTGTCGTTATATTTAAAGAAGATAAAAGGAGTCGGTTTAAGGCTACGACGAGCATTTCGATGTGCAAGTCGTGGAGGTGATCGTGTCTATAGGTAGTTCACAACTAGAGACAACGATAAGGTTGATGCGATGGGAAAAAATGTTTACGAAATATTTGGCTACTTGATAGTTGCTTGATTTTACATTTTTTAAGTAACATCACACAACATATTAAATAACTTCATCCATGGTGATGATATTTGTATTAACTATTGTTGCTTCTCCTTACTTTATTAAATGAATCAAGTTCATTAGGTTAATTGGATTCAGATTAGATCAATTTTAGGTCGAACCCAAATCCTACTTGATATATCATAAAAAATTATCTTGATCGGACATGAATCTCGAGGCAAAATCAAGTTGGAAACTTCCGAAATTAAAATTGGAACCATTTGAACTTAGATTTAAGCAAACTTACAGTCGAACTGAGCGTCTCGAGAATATAAACCAACGACACCAAATCCAACCCAATTCGAGCCCAAACGGGTCCAAATCAAGGGTTAAAAGCATTGTTAGAAGGTTCGAACCACAATTTGGATTACCAAATGGTTTCCAAATATAACATGCTTATAGTCGAATCGAGTGGCTCGACAAGACAAATCTAACAAGCCCAAGATCATCGAATTCCGACATCACTAAGACATTCAAAAGTCCGTTAAATGGTCCATGATCAAGGGATTCAACATGGGCCGTCCATCCAACCACTCCCCATTTACCCTTGATCTCTCACATATTTACGGGCCATGCCACTCCAAAAATCTATAAATAGATCCCTCGTTTCTCTTGAAAAGGGGATCCAAACAAGAGGCAAGAGAGAGATCGGAGATCGCTTTGGCCTCCTCCTCTTCGATCACCGCATGAGTTCCGCCAGACCACCACTTGAGGCCCTGTGCTCCGCCGGACCACCATTTGAGGCCCTCACCTCCGCCGGACCACTACTTGAGGCCCTGAGCTCTGTCGGACCACCACTTGAGGTCCTCACCTTCGCCGGACCATCACTTGAGGCCCTGAGTTTCTTCGGATCATTGCCTGATGTCTTTGTTCCGCTGGACCACCACTTGAGGCCCTCACCTCCATCGGACCACCACTTGAGGGCCTGAGCTCCGCCGAACCACAGCCAGATGCTGGAGTTCTGCCGGGCCACCACTTGAGGTCCTGAGCTCCATCAAACCACCACCTGATGCCTGGCTTCTACCGGACCATCACCTGAGGCCCGGACTTCCGCCGGACCACCACCATAGGCCCGAACTTCTTCCAAACCACCACCTTACGCTTGTCTTCTATAGGACCACCACCTGAGGCCCGAACTTCTGTCGGACCACTGCTTGAAGTCTGAACTTCCGTTAGACCACCACTTGAGGCTTGGACATTTGTCGAACCTCCACCTGAGGCCCGAACTTCTGCCCGACCATCACTTAAGGCCTAAACTTCTATCGGGCCACCACTTGATGCCTAAAGCTCTACCATAGTATCAATATACTACAATGGTCTTTCTGACCCCAATCTCCGGCCAACTACGATCTTTTTGACCCCTGTCTCCTGCCGACTATGATCCTTTCGGACTCTGTCGCCTACAACTGTCCTTACGACCTACATCGCCAGGCAACGATCTTTTTTACCTTGGTCTCCTATCTACTACGGTCTTTCTGACCTCTATCCTATCAACTATGGTCATGTCGACCAAACAAACATGTCTATGTTGATTATTATAACTCCCACCATGTAATGCGCTCTATATGATGTACATTTGTGACATCAAGCCAATGCCTTCTCTCTAAGAAGGGTCTCCTTTGTAATTAACTGTAAATACTAGTGTATTCATTCAAATTGGACCAGTCCCCGTAATTTTTCCCCTTTTCAGGGTTTTCCACGTAAAAACTCTTATGTCTCTTATGAACGCTACATCCTCTCTCTTATCTTCTTGTGTGTTGGATCTTCGTACAACGTTAAGACACTAAATTTTATATTTCTATACCGCCGCGAATACTCGAGGACGCAACACTACTTATTAACCCAATTTGATACCCCTAATTCAAATAATGTGTATCAAGTATAAAAATATAATATAACATATAAAAATATCTATATATCATAAAAATTGCATTAAATATGTATTTTTTGTCATTGGAGTAACCAAAGACTTTAAGTAGCTCAACATTATA